GCTTCTCAGAGTGAGAAGCACAGAGCCGAAGACACAAGCCTGAAGATGATGAATGAGACTTCATCGAAACGTTGCCTAGATACTTCCAATCTTACGCGGGAGAAAACCCGAATAACCAAAGATCCACATATATATATAGGTTATATATATATATATAATTATAATTGAGAAAATGATTCTGTAGGTAAATGCATCAGTTGGTGGATATGTGAATGTATATGGAGATGAATTAACATTGTATTGAGATGAATGTCAGGTGAATATACAAGAAAGGACACAGTAAAATACATAATAGCAATGATTCTGTTATTGCCTACTTAAGAGTAGCAATTCTCCCTTGATTGGCTTGTCCAGAGTGGATACAGCTCATAGTTCTAAAAATATTTCCAATTCCTCACTTAATATTTTGTTATAAAGGTAAAATTATATTTTAACTCCCCCCCCCCTTTTTTAGAAAAAAAATACCTCTATAGTTTTGTTCCAGATTGGATGATGACTGATTGCATCCCAAAGCATAATGTGTTTGTCTTGCCCGCATGTAAAAAACTGAGGTTTGGTGGGATGGACTGCTAGTCCCCAAAGCTCATCAGTATGGCCCTGAATGAACACAGAAACATTTATTTGGTAGATCAACAATAGTTTGCACAGCATCATTAAGCCAGAAATCCTATCAAAACACTATACGAATAAAGTATTTATTATGCATATTATGTTTAGTTTCACTTGGTTTTACACACATATGCAAGCTAGTGTACAATCCAGGCACAAACTACTTAAATTATATCTGGGCTAAAGGTTATATTTGAACTCAGCATTTAAATATAATGCTAATTTAGCCATGCATAATTAGCCTACTTGTTTGTGTAAAAAGAAATAATCCTGGCTTGTCTGTATGCAGTAATCTATAATTTCAAGGTTCAAATATCATGGTAATTTATTTATGCATAATTAATTTACTGGTTTGTATAAAGGAAGGCTTAGGCGTACTGTGTTTAGTAATCCAGGATTATTGTCTTTAAATGAAGTGGAGATAATTCCACATCTGGTCCTTTTATTGGTAATACTAGAGAAAAACAGCTTTAAAAATCTATTCTGTTCCATCTGTAAAACTGTAAATTGGGGTTACATGGACTTTTTATTAAATTACTACTTATTTAGCAAGTTCTCAACTCATCCGCAAGAATAGTTTGTTCAGGTTTATTATGCCGTATTTTTCTAAAAAGTCATCCATTTAACGTTACCTGTTTTTGAAAACCTGGCTCTTAGGGAAAGATTGTAATGAAAAAATAATAACTACCTGGGTAATGGGAGAAAAGCCTCCTGACAAAGAACCTTGGAGCACAAAGTTTCGAGTGGTTCCTATCAAAACAATGTCCCCCTTCCCTTCTGCTATTGTTCTTATAGGACCATACTGCTCCAGAATCTGTTTTAGAAAAAAATGGAAATAGTTAAACTGAGTGTGTATTTAAGTATTTTTTCAAGTATACAACCCTATTATGCTTGCATAAAGATATCAATGAGATGGGAAAGATATTAGTTGAGCCGAATCAGTTCTTTCTTTTGGGAAACAAGACAGAAGTAACTTTTGTTAGTTAGAAGCAGAAAACAATGAAGTTTTGTTTGAAATAAAAGCATTTTAAGGGTTCCAGGAGCACTGCTGAGGGCTCTTCCTATTCTTTCCTAAGAAACAAAATTTACACAGAGGAAAATAGGAGAGATTTGTAGCCACTCTCAGTTACAATCCAAAGTAGTTATGACAAAGCTGACCTATAAGCAAATGTAATAAACATGCAAATGTATAATTTTTACATCTTACAAGAAAAAAATCAGCTGTTTCTCTAGACTGCATTTTATTCACCAGCTTCAAAGATCTATAAGGAGAGTTGGTGAGTGGTCAATGGGTCTATGGAACTGTGATGAGCATTTCCCCACAAACGAAGAAGATAATTAGTTACAAAGAATGTGTTCTATAGTCTCTTTCAAAGGACAGGAATATGTAGGACAAATTTGTAGGATAAGCATCAAAAAATATGGCCTCTTCAAAATAGGTGAATCATGTGATTTATCCAAAGTTACCAATATATGTACATAGAATACAGATATTGGTAATGAAAATCACACTAATATTTTTAGAAGAAATAAGGGAAAGTGCCTCAAGTGGTAAAACAATGAACATTCTTTAAAACAAAAATGTTTTCAGAGAAGTTTTAAAGCCTGGAGTCATTACCTCAGTTTTATGAATTTTCTGATAATTTCCATTCCAAGATATCAACTTTCTGTCCTTTCCACCTCCAGACACAAGAGTGCCATCTCGTAACATACAAAGGGCAAATATACCCCCTTCATGAGCTCCTTGAATTGCAGTGCTTATTCTGTTGGTACCTGGAAAGAAGAGGACAGAAGCTCATTAAAATAATGTTTTGTTGGTTTATTCATTTAGCTTTTCCTTTCCTGAAGGAAATAAAATGTGGTGGCCACTATAATTTCTTTCTGATCAGGAACTCTAAAGAAATGTGAAAGTTTTGAGAAGAAAAAACAATAAGTCAACTATAAAACAGGGTTGGGTTTCTAACATCCTAGATCTCCTCTTAGGGCTTTCTTTAAAAAACAGAGTTTTATAGCTAACGTGAAACAAAACAGGGTTGGGCAAGTCTAATTGCAAATAATAGCTTTTCCAAAGAAATGGACAGCAATAAGAGAAGGCTCCGCTGTTTGTGCCTTGCACTTAAGAATCCCTAAAGGAGTGGGCCTTGAGTGGTTATCCTGTTTAATAGCGATAACAATAGCGCTTAAATTTATACACTGCTCCATAATACTTTACAGCAGGGGTGTCCAACCTTGGCAACTTTAAGACTTGTGGACTTCAACTCCAA